ACGTCATCGCGTACACCCTGACGCCACGCGGAACAAACTAATCCCCGAAACCCTTTTCGCGACGCTGTGGGATAACCTTGGCAACTCCTTAATTTTGTCGAATGGAAATCCCTCTGTTTCAGTAAACTCGATTTCCATTTCGTTTCACCATTTAAGCTGTAGCAACATAAAAATGAATATACAACAGGATTGTATTAACACGTTAATCGCCACGAGAACCTTGAACGTTTTATACATGATTTGTTCGTTCGTGGCAAATGTAAATAGAGTTCTTACATTTCACTATTGTTAACTTATTAATGTTATTAAATATTTTTAGTCGACAACAGTCATCTTACATATCGTAATTTTTTTCAAGCAATTCAGAAGCGTGGGTCATCGGTGACTGACACGACATTCAACGTGTTAAGCACACTACTCAATCTTCAATTTCATAAAACTTCTAACACATGAGAAATAAATTTCTTTATTCCCAAATCTATATGTAACTGAAGGTTACATTCTTTTAACAATTCTAGGTTCCAGTATCTGATCAATAAACTCAGGATCGAGGATATTCATTTAACGCGAAATGTCACTAAAACTCTCCCAGTTTATCTGTGACATTCAAGATCGTATGTAAATCGGAGCAGTAATTCTTTGCCGCTCCTAGCATATTTCGTCCCATTGAAAGCGGCAACGTTTATCCGCGCAGCGTGTGCAGCAGGCAGCAACATCGTTCTCGAGAAAAGCTACCCTATTCGATAATTCCCTTGCCGATGCGATTACAGGTGTATTTCTGTCGCGTGAATCACCGAGCTAAAAATACCGGCAGAAAGTGCTTTTACTCGAACATAATTCGTACAGATATTCGGGCCGCGATGGAAATTCAGAAGGGGCCGACAAAAGGCACAGTTAAAGATCGATTAGGCGTGTTAACGGATCGTTGATAGGATTTGCGGGTCTGCCTGTAGGGCTTGCGGACTGTTCCCTGCTATTCTATCGTTTTATCGAGGTCACGAATACACACGGAATGAAAAATGCCCGTCAATGGCGGACGCTCCTTGCATGTAGGTCGTCGGTGGTCAGCGTCGTTAGCAGCACGATCCCGCTTTTGTTAATCGAGACAGGTGTGATCCGCTGCTTACCCCATCCCCTTTTCACTGCGGTAATAGCGAGTCCACACAGAGAAGTTGTTACTTAAACCGATATCCAAACGGAGCGTAACATTTCCGAATCATTGTTCCGTGTCGAGGAACTTGTCGGCCCCCCTAGCGCGCGGCGGTGTCATGGAAGGTGCGTGACAGGGGTTGAAACATCGTTCAATCGTCGCGCTTGTTTCACTCCAATCGGTCGTCTATTGAGTCTTTTCTATATCATCATTTTTATAAATTATTCCAACGCGCTACCGTTGTCACTCATGTGCAACTGACAATCTTATTTTGCGATGAATGGATGAACGTTTAAGATCGTATCGTTAATTTCTGGGAATGAGCGAAATAAATTGGAGAATATAAAAATTGTATATAAAAATAAAGAATGATTTGATCTTCGACAATTTTTGTCTGATGAACATTGCTAATTGAGAACTGGAAAAAGTTCATTGGTAACTTTGTAGCCTTGAAGAATTAATTTTTCTTTTTCATTTGTGTTTCGAGTCAATGATTGAGGTTGCTAGTGACAATAATTTAGTTTCTTTTTAGCGAGTAACTGAATTTTTCGTTTAGTGTACTACAGAAACGGAATTCATGATTACACCGAGAGATGAAGAAGTTTGCTTGGAAGAAAGGGGTCGACCCTTCTGTAAGCGTTTCCTTCGTCACTTGCAAACACGTGACAGAGTTTAAAAAAGGTTTTGCTTCGACTGTGCTTCGATTGAGCGGCTAAGCTTGCTTGTCCTTACGGCTTAACCGGCTATAGACGTGCGTCTCCGTTCTTCGTGCTCCCGGCTCTCTATCCCTCTTGAATGTTCGATACCATATTTCGCATGGTTTAGCATGGACAGGTGGTGAAAATATAATTGGGCTTGTCATTCGATAAAAGGTCATTCTAAAGTGTATCCAGACTGTGCACGGCGGTAACACGAACATTAACTTATCAGTTTATCGTTCATCAAATAACCAATGCACAAGTATATACTCGCCAGCCTATAGTTTAAATGGCGCGTGCACGATTCCGGAAAAAAATATTGTAGAACACGTGTACGCAAGCGGGAAACGGCAAATGGGATACGAATTGATTCGTTCCACGCTTTCTCAATGTCACATTTAATAATGTAGAAAACGGAGACAATCACCGCGCAGTTTTCACGGTGAAACGATTCAGTTCCGAAGAACTGTCCCTATTAGCTGATTGGACACTCGTCGTTATTTGTGTACGGCAAATTATCGTAAGGCAAATTATCGAGTTTCCACTGTTACGAATCAATTTCCATATTCACGATTCCATTAGAACAACGCTACGATTTGAAAGAATAAATTGCAACTCCAGACACAAATTATTCCTGCACTTGATCGTTTATACGTAGGTATACAATTACAATGCATGCTACTTAGAACGATTGATCACTTTAAAGGATTCAGAGCAGAAAAAATATTCCCGTTCATTTATTACCGAGGACAAGCTGACCGCGCACGCAGAAACGATAAAAGCAACCCCCAACCCGGTTCCACCGCAAATTGTCCTCGCGTCGTGAAACATTAATCGAACGAAAAACATTAACGACTGGAGCCCGTGTATTAATCACCGGTTCTCTTTTTCCAGCGTGTGCTCGCAACGTTCAGCGCGGGAGGGGGTAGGTGAGGGTTGGCTGGAGGCAGGAGAGGTGTTCCCGGACACCGAAAGCTGGGGCACCCTGACGAGGAGGTCCCGGAGGAGGAGGTGGGTCGCCGGAGAGAGGAAAGAAAGGAGGTGACCATCCACCCCACATGGACGCCACCCCCAAAGGA